ACAGACATGATGAGTGTCGTGAGCCATGTCGCGACACTGGTCGCTGCTTCGATCGCGACTTTCATGTGAAGTGCAGTGAGTTTGAGAAGCTTGCACTATGTGCGCAGCGTCGGTAACAGACGTGTTGGCGAAGCTGAAGGATACTTGAACAGCGACCGTGAAGGTGAAGTTGTCGCAGGGCGAAGCTATCGTTGATAGTCTTAGAGATTAGCGACATTCTTTGTTCTTTGGTGATTGTTTATGTGTTGATCATACAGTCCAGGTTCAGCTTATATGAGCACAAAGCAAGTGCAGCACAAACAGGTAAAGCTCGTATTAGACTTTTGACATTGTCATTCGATCTATCGGTATCCACATTTACACCCAAAAACTCTGATTACGAAGACCCTATAGTGCGCCTGAATGCTCAAATTGCAAAACTACAGAATCGTGATATCGCTGCGCAGAAGTAATGTAAGACAAACGTGAGAGAGGTCTGGCGCAAGCATTCCGAGCCGATGGAGAAGTTTCATATTGAAGTAAGTAGTCGTTCATATCCAACCTGAATCGTTCCTGAGCCGCGTCTGCAGAAGTCCGCGGGATATTCGGTGTACGATTTCCCGGATATGTACGAAAGAGCGAAAGGCGGGCAGAGCATTTAGAGCAGGATGAAGAGTCAGAAGAGACGAATGAAAGTAGTTTCCGTAGTAGCCGTGAAAATTCCAGACGACCAAACTGATATTGCCCAAGCACATCGAAATCTTGGGTTTCGGGATATGTCATCGCTCGATTGGCAAGGCCGGATATCGACCGGTTTGGAACGTAGCCGGAAAAATGTACACGAAAAGGGTATCGATCAAGTCCAGAACGCTTCATGAAACTGCCCACCATCACTCTTTTGGCTCCGATCGGATGGCCCTCTGATGCTGTGATTGCACATGTCACTGGATATTAATGACCTCCGTTCTTCCTGAAGTTCAGCAGTTGGGACAAGCTGGCTAAGCTGCATCCGCTCTTGAGGAAGTCGTGGCTTATGAGCTCTCCCGCGCTCGCTCGTGATTTAACATCGACGCAAAGGCAGACTGACAAGAACGCCTTGAGTTCCTTGGAAAGCTTATCTGGCTTCTTGAGACGAGGAGTGCCGTTGGTAGCAATGAGATACAGAGCCTTGAGTGGCTCCTCGTTCAGGTACGGTGGTTCGGACTCGATCATCTCAATGGCCATGATACCCAGAGACCAGATATCGACCTTGTTGCCATACTCTTTCTGCTTGACAACTTCAGGGGCCATCCAGTATGGAGTTCCGACCATAGTCGCACGCTTGCTGCGCTGCTCGGTAAGCTTCGCACTGAAACCAAAGTCGGCTATCAAAGGTTAGCAAGCTGTAGAGAGAGGATGTATGGCGGATACGTACTAATCTTGACATTTCCACGGCCGTCGAGCAAGACATTGTCACTCTTAATGTCTCGGTGGATGATGTTCAGGTTGTGGAGATACTCAAGTCCCTTGCAGGTCTGTGGTGATTGTCAGAACAAATTATCCAAAATGCATACTGCATAGCTTACCTCGAAGCAAATGGTCGCGATCTGGTCTTCGCTGATGGAAGGGTTATTGTCAATGATATCGGTCAAAGCACCTCCTTCCATAAACTCCATGACCACCCAAAGCTCAGATTGCTCTTCTTGCAAGAAGGCATCCAAGAAATTGACGATGTTGGGGTGTTTGCTGTCCTTCATGACGATAATCTCGTTCACAATAAGTTCCTTGCGTGGCTGGTTGCGGAGATCCATCTGCTTAATAGCGACCTGTGCACGTGGGCCGTTTTCTTGCATGACCCTTCTGGCCATGGGTGAAGTAGCACCTTCACGGATACGTGCAACATACACGGAACCACTGGCACCCTGACCAATCTTCTTCTGCTTGTTGTACGAGTCCAGTGGTCGTTCTTTGGATACAACCTCTCGGAGCTTCGCCATGACCTCGCTTTCGGACATGCTAGACATGCGCACATCCTTTCGTGCTGGCTCTTCTTTAGGCTTAGCCGTGAGAGCCTGCTCGGCCTTCTTCACTGCGTCACTGACAGGAGCATTTTGTGGCTTAGCAACGTTCAATGGCTTGGGTGCAGCACCTGGCTGGTATGGCTGTTGTTTCTGTTGGCTCTGACCATTAGCGACCCTGGGGACCTGGTTGCTCGATTTCTGATAACTATTGTTTGTTTGAATTGGCGGTCGTTGTTGAGTTGAGGATGATTTGGCAGGAGAAGTGCTGTAACCACTGTTCTGTTGCTGAGGTGCAGGAGGTGCAGGGCGCTGCGCAGCCATCTGGCGTGGTGCCGCCTGCTGTTGCTGCTGCCGGGGGTCTCTTGCGGCGCCCGGAGTTGATGGTGCAGGGCGACTGGGGTTGTACCTTTGGCCTGACGGGCTCGAATCTCGCGAATCGTAACCACCTCCACCAATCTCTTGTTGGGCCAAGGGAACTTTCTTTTGAGGTAGCGAAGCATTGTACGCATCCAGATCTGCGCGTTGTTGTCGCTCATATTCCTCTCTTTGCCTCTCACGCTCGCGTTCACGTTGTAGTCTGGCCTGCTCCTCCTGCCTTCTCTTATCCTGCTCGTAACGATCCTGCTGCGAGGAAGCGCTCTGCTGACCGCCGTAGCCTTGACTGTAACTGTCTTTGCGCTGATAGATGCCTGGCGGCGCTGGGCGCGGGGGAGCCACGGAATTGCCGCCACCACCATACCCAAGCTGCTTCTCCATCCCAGCATTCGTTGGTGGGGTCGGGGTGAGACTTGGGTATTGCTGAGGGTCCTCGGATCGCTTGACAAGCTTTTCAGTGTAGAACTCCAAGACCTCAAGGACAGCCTTGGGGTTCTTCGCATAGTCGTCTTTGGTGAGCGCGGACGCAGTGAGCAGCTTCTCCCATTCCACTGGCAGGCCGACGAAAGCTCCGCTGTTGGGATCAAATCCTACGTGTACTCTGTGAGTGAAGTTTGTGGGGTTGCTGACACCGCCCATGCTGGGGCATCGCTGGTAGATGCTGTCGATCCACGAATAGACATCGTCGTCGGTTTCGACTCTGCATGTAATAATCTTGGTAGGGCCATCGCGAGGTGGAGAGGAACCTTTGCTGCTGTTGAGAGCGCGGGTGATTTCAAAAGATAGCGGCTGCGTATCTGATCGCTCGACACCAAGGATGTCCCGCAGTTGGATTGTGTTGGAGACTTTTGACGCATTAGGGCTCTTGAAGAAGTTGAGCTCAAATTCGCGCAATACCAACCACCGGTCGGCCCAGACAAAAGATTTGAACAAGCCTTCATCCTTGACTTTGACCATACCCTCTTTAACCGTAGCCGTCGACGAGACGCTTCTCTCGGTCTGGGTGCGGATGAGCGACATTTGCGAACCGTTGTTGAAGGCAGGCGACTGCATGCTCAGGCCAGCCATGTTGCCTGGCAAGGTGTTGCTGGTGTTGGGGGTAAGGGCGAGGCGGGGGCGGTCGGTTGGTGGTCGAGGTGCGGGACCGGGGTTCATGAATTGTTCGCGAGAATACATGCTAAAGTACCGTGGTCAGCGGACGGATCGACGGGTGGTTGGCTGATTGACACGAAACAGGCGATGCTGCAGTCATGTGGGGGTGAAGGGGTGGTGTTTGCAGCAGACGGCAGCAGTGACAGCCAGGCGAAGAGCTCCTGCGTACTTACATGGGTGGACTATTGTTCACACAACAACAACAACAAAAACAACAACGATGGGAATTATACAATAGCTACAATAGCTGCGTGAGCGTTTCACTGCCTCCAGTGCGGCCAGGCAGTCGGGGTGTGATGTGGTGAATAGCGGGGTGCACCGTGCTCAATGAAGTGAGCAAGCAGGTAGCGGAGGCGCCTCTCAATGAGTGGTTGGTGTCTATCCAGTGAGACAGGAGCCTCGGCGGTGGTGTCGAGGACGGGGAGTCCTGGGACGGGGGTCGCGTCGAGTAAGCAGCAATGCGAGGTCGGTCGGGCTGCAGCACAGCGGGATACCAGTCCTGAAAGCGAGCGGGCGCTGCTGCCAATCCAAGTCGCAAAGCGTCGCACCGAGAGTCGTTCAGCGAGAAAGCCGCATTCGAGAAGTGCAGAAACAGGGTAAATAGGAGAATTTGGTAGGCGGCGGGCGAGAGCGCGGTCGTGTCTGGTACAGACAGTCGTGGTAGTGTCTTTAGTGGGCCCTCTCCTGGTTGGCTTTGGGGCTCCTTGGGCAATGGCGCGCTAAATTGGCACGGAACTTTCTCTCACGTGCACTTGACTCTGCTTCGGACGTCGAGCCTGAAAGGAAGACGCCGCTGCAGTAATGTTCGCGGTGTGCGCCCATTGGCTGTTGCAACACCAAGGGCTCGAGATCGTCAGCAACATCATTTCGCTGCATGCGTTTCATCAGCGGAAAGGCGCGACAACGGCAGAGGGTCCGGCTTGATCGCCCGGCGGCTCCAAGTACAAGATCGCGCTCAGCGTTTCAGGAGAGAGCGAGTCGACGTCTGAAACCCATCTGCGTGCCACCAGAACCTTTCCACAGCCGCCACATGGGCATATTTAGATTTCGTGCCGCTCGCTACCTGTTCGGCTGCTTGGCTGCTTGTTCAAAAGAAGGGTGCTCTACCAAACTATGGGAACCCACGTTGTGTCAAAGTGTCATTGTAGTCTGTTTTTATTGCTACCGTTCCCACTTCCCTTCCCTCCCGACCCATACATCGCCACGTAAATCTGGGAAGGTGTGGCGATCGCTTACACTATATCTCTTGCCATATTGTTTCACTTCCAACGGCGCTCGATACACCAAGTACAAATCAACATGTTTCAACCGTATTTTGCATGGTGCCCGCCTCTGACCCCACCAATACAGCCACTATCCCTGTCCAGACACCCAACCATGCACGTCATAACCACAGGGGGCGGATGTGCACAACCTCGAGCTCAACCGCAACCAGTCTGCCCGGACTGCGCAGCGACCACACTTTAGCAGCTTTGGTTCCCACCGGAGATTAATCTACTCTACCCCCCAAACGCCCAAGACGTCTCTTTCGGCGCCCTCGTGCTGTTTCTTCTTACGCGCTTGGAGTTCCTTCACCCTGCGAACAGATAACCCAACAGCTAGAGGGCCGAGGATAGTACACAGAACGATGGCCCATGTCACGACGAGAAAGATGTCGGTTGGCTCACCAGAAGTTTCCCCGAACACTCCTTGAGATTCAGCGACGCCGGAAATTAAGAAACCAATCTCTCCGCGGGCGCACATGGCAGAGGCGAGAATAAGCGGCGGGTGTAGCGAGAAGGGCTTTGGTGGGTTGGGTGAAGAGCGCGCCTCGCTCTCGGTGCCAGCTGACGAAGCTGCTGGGCGTGTCTGTGTGGGGGTAGCTTCTGTGTGTGGTGGTGCGGCTCCTACCTTAGGTGTAGTAGCTCCTGTCTGCGCAGACGGTGCTGGGTGATTGCTCTTACCCCACAAGTGAGGCACCGACGGCAGGCGCACCTTGCTCAGGATCTTGCTAGGAGATCTTTTACCTGTAGAGACCGAGAAACGGACAAGCCAAAGACCACACACCACCTTGGCAAATGCCATAAGGATGGCATAAACAATACCTCGCCAGACTATCGCACCTCTAAACATGCGCGTGATTGGTATAGAAAAGCCAATGGATGCGAAGAAGAAAGGCTGCAGAATCTTGGACACTGCAGGGTGGTAGTAGTGGTGGTAGATGGCTGCACCACCTGTTGTATCCACGTGCTCTTCCTTCTCGATCTTGGTGGGTTGGGATGAAAGCGTGCCCTGGTTTTGCTCGCTCCGAGTCTTGGAGGCATCTGGAGATGTGCCTTCAGAGCTTTCAAGAACTGATCCAGAAGCTGCTGGGCTCTTTTCAGCCACTGGGGTTGTGGCCAAAGTACTAGCAGGGTGAGGTACGTCAGAATCCCACCAGCTGATGCTAGCTCCTGCAATGTACGCAGCAAACAGATTCGACGTGCCTGCATATGTAGCCCCCGCGACGAGACCAATGAGAATTAGCGTGTGGACTGTGAAAGCCGTTTGTGTACGCTGTAGGAGAGCATTTAGCCGTGCGCCTGGGTGAGCTTCGCGGTACGTATTCAGCCACACGGTCAGGGGCTTAGCGACGAAAAGGCAAACAATAGGAGCAACGACAGCAAAAGCAACCGAAACAAGTACCGGGCGGACGACCGTGACCCAGCTGAAGTTGTCACCGCCTAGGTTAGAGATGACCTGCACCATGACCAGGCCGACGACATCATCCATCATAGCCGCACTGGTAAGGACAACGCCTAGACGAGTGGTAGACAAGCCACTTGAGCCGAGAACCGTAAAGGTTGTGCCCAAACTGGTGGAACACAGTGCTGCACCAGCAGCAAAAGCCTGTACAGGGCTAGCATCTAACAGACATTGCATAGTGTAGGAGAGACCGATGGGAATTACGATTCCAGTCAGAGCGACGCCAGAAGAGAGAAGTAGATTCGCTTTGAGAGACTGGAAAGAAGTAGAGAGACCACCTGACGAGCGTTAGAACGACGTCATAGGGGTGAAAATGAGTTCAGTGATAAAGCATGTGACATACCTTCATAGACAAGCAGAATCAGTCCAAGATAGCCTAATTGCACAACCGTCTCTTCTAAGCTCTCAGACAGCCACTTCGCACCTGGAGTGCCCCATGCGATGCCAACCAACACCTGGCCTAGTAGACCGCAGTAAAGCACTCTGTCAAGGGCAGCATTGACGACATTGAGGAGAAGAAGAAAAGACGCGAGGACTAGAATGACAACGATGCCTGGCTCGTGGTATGGCAGCGACGCGGCATCTTGAGACGCGTCTACAGCCATGATGCAGGCAAGGGCGCTGGCCAGTCAATATGCGTGCGACGCCTGCTGGAACTGGCTCTATGCGGCCACGAGGCAAGTGGACATGAGTTTGCAAATTAACCAAGAGCACGCGCTACCTCGGACGTCCTCTGGATATTGTTTGCGTGTCAGCAACAAAGATTGGACGGAAGAGTTTTGTTACCAAGAAGACACCAGGATAGTCGCGGCCAACCAGAGCAGAGGTGGGCGGTCCAAGGCCGTGTGGATCCAGGGGCCCCGCTACGAGGACCAGGGTGCAGCGACAGCCGAAGCCGCGCCCGCAGTCAGTCAGCCATTCATTGTTTTGGCCCAAGACTACTTTGGAAAACACGCCTGAGCAATCGCCAGCAAGCATCGCGTATCCACCCAGCTTAGATATTCCTACCTGCATGCGCCCAGTCCGTGTGAGAGCGCTGATGCACACAGATCATGGCGCCGCTTGAACAGCAATGGGTCAAGGTCCAGCAGAAGACATTCACCAAGTGGTACGCTGCCTGCCACCCCCACCGCTGCCCCGGGTCCCTACGCTACTGACGACACCACTGCAGGCTGAACAGCAAGCTCAAGATCCGCGAAGTACAGATTAACGACCTGATCATAGACCTCTCTGACGGTGTACGTGCCACCCCGCCTGGCCCCCCGACATGGCCTCTCCCCGCATCCAGTCACTGACGCCCCCTTAGATCATACTCATACACCTCCTTGAGATCCTCAGTAACGAGTCCCTCGGCCGCTATGCCTCCCGACCCAAGCTGCGGGTGCAGAAGTTTGAGAACGTCAACAAGTCGCTCGACTTCATCCGAAGCAGGAGGATCCAGCTTACCAATACCGGTGCCGAGGACGTCGTCGATGGTAACAGCAAGATCATCCTGGGTCTGATATGGACCCTCATTCTGCGATTCACCATCAGCGACATCAACGAGGAGGGTCTCAGTGCGAAGGAGGGTCTGCTGCTGTGGTGTCAGAGGAAGACGGCCTGCTACGACGAAGTCGAAGTTCGCGACTTCTCCACCAGCTGGAACGATGGACTTGCATTGTGGGTGCAACATTCTACATGCAAGGACCGGGCTAACATTACACAGCTGTGCCTTGCTCGATATCCACCGTCCCGATCTCATCGACTACGACAGCCTAGACAAGAGTGACCACCGCGGCAACATGCAGCTTGCATTCGACATTGCTTCAAAAGAGATTGGTATTCCCGACCTCCTCGATGTGGAGGATGTGTGCGACGTAGCGAAGCCCGATGAGCGTTCGCTCATGACATACATTGCCTACTGGTTCCACGCCTTCTCGCAGATGGAGCGCGTAGAGAACGCCGGTCGAAGAGTCGAGAAGTTCGTGGCAAACATGCAGGGAGCGTGGCAGATGCAGAACGACTTCGAGCGACGCATGCGCGAGCTGCTGGACCAAATCGCCAAGCAGCGCACACAATGGGAGGACGCCAAGTTCGACGGAACATACGCGGATGCTAGGAACCAGTCAACCGAGTTCACAGCGTGGAAGCGCAAGAGCAAACGAACATGGGTAGCTGAGAAGTCTGATTTAGTAGGCCTATTGGGAAACATCAGGACGAAGCTAGCAACATATCGGTTGCGACCCTATGACCCACCTGCAGAGCTGAGTCTCGAAGCACTAGACACAGCATGGACAGGCTTGATGAAGGCCGAGCGGCAACGTTCCCAAATCATCAACGAGACAATCAGAGACATCAAGAACGCTCTACGAAAATCCTTCGCCGACAAAGCAAACGACTTCGCTTTGGCCCTCAACACACTCTCTACATCGATATCAGCGTTGGAAGGCGATGTTGAGGACCAGTTGGAGCATACCAAGGAAATCAGCAAGTCGCTTGCGCCTTTGGACGAATACCTCAACCTCATAGCATCTATCGATGAGCAATGCGCCGAAGCGAATATTGAGGAGAACGACTTCACAACGTACACATACGATGAGCTAGAATACGAACTGGGTTTGGTCCGCAACTCCGTATCAAAGAAACTTGCCTTCCTGGAAAACCAAATGGTTGCGCGTAACATGACCAACTTGACTCCTATACAACTGGAAGAGTTTGAATCAGTCTTCAGGCATTTCGACCGCGATGTATCCAACTCGCTGGCCGAACTAGAATTCTCGGCCGCTTTGGCAAGTTTGGGCTTGGTCTACGACGAAGCAGAGATGCATGAAAGATTCCGCGAAACCAGTGGGGGTAAAGACTATGTCACCTTCGAGCAGTTCATTCGTTTCATGGTAGATGAAACAGAGGACCAAAACACCGCGGAGCAGGTGTTCGAGTCTTTCAGAGAGGTCGCTGATGGCAAGGTCAGTCCATGTTCTTACATCCCCTTTCCTATAATCAATTACTAACATCCCATTAGCCATACGTCACAGAACTCGATCTTCGACATTCACTCGTTCCGGACGAAGTAATCGACGACCTAATCGCCACCATGCCTGAGCACCAAGGCCCAGATATGCAGGAAGACCGCGACATTCCCAAATTTGACTACATTACCTACATGCAGCGGTACATGGGCGCTGACCGTGCAAACGGCAATGTTGTCGAAGAAGTGAACGGCGAGTAGAACTCGACCAATCTCGAGCATAGGGTTCTTCTCACCCCAGCGTTTGTATAGCGTTTGAAGAACGAAGAGTCTGGAAAATTGCATGGATTGGATGTTGAGTTTAGCGTTATATCGTTCGGTTTTTGCATAGTGGCCGTTTTGGAGTCACTCCGTCGTTGGATATTGAGTACAATCAGGAAGGGGGGAATTGGAAGGCTCTTTGGAGTAAGGCGCGCTTGCATGTTCGATGTTGGATACCACACAGATAGGAAGAATTATTGAACTTAGTCATAATCACTTAGTTGGTCACTTCTAGTGTCCAGCGTCTTGACGACAAGATCACTGTGCCTTGATCAAGAGCCACCCCTGGGCAGGCACCAATCTCATCTCTCACCATCTCTCTCGCTTACGGTAGTCTCACTTCACTGTCGTCTACACACACTCTCTCTATTCGAGATTTCCTCCTCCACCTTCACTTACTTTCGGTCTCTCTAGGTGACCAACAGTCCGTGCGTTTTGCACTTACTTCAAGCAGACTCTCTTCTGCCACAGCTTACTTACTACTACATTACCTTCTCCCAACCTTCAGAGGTCGCAATCGGAATCCGGCCTTCGACCGCAAGTACATCGACTAGAACAGGGTAAGGTGTCATTGTACGAAACATATGGGAGACATATACTGACTTCGTGTCTTCGCGTCTGCAGTACTGCCTCTGCCAGACAGCGGTCGCCGCAGTCATGGCGAACAAGGCTTCTCAGTCCTTCCGCTTGCTTGACTTACCGGCTGAGTTGCGAATCATGATCTACAAGCCTATGCCGAATTACACCTTTCGTACCCGATACGTCAAGCGCAACGGCAATGGAGACACTACGAGTAGCTTTACAATCATCAGATATACTGCACCCACAGCTATGCTTGCTACATGCAAGATGATTGAAGATGAAGCCGAAGCGATCATCCTCAAGACTAGGCTGAAGATTCATCCCATTCGAATCGACGAGAGTCATATCCCTCTCCTGGGTTCCATAACACCTCGAATCGAAGCCGATACTCGAGCTCTTTACTTTCTTGGAGCCGAGAAGGGGCCGGTCAATACAATCTCTGAATGGTACTCTCGCATCCAAACGAACCAACATACAAAGTTTGAGGCCGCCTTTCCCAAGTGCACGTACGATATATGCTCTCTACTCACTAAACACGGGTATGTCATGGAGGGTGGTACACTGGGCGAAGCAGCCCGTACTCTGGTGAACTTCGTTCGCAAATCTGGATACATCCTTCATATTCGCGGCGAAAGGACTTGTTGGAAACCTATCTTCGCCATCACCCTGACGAAGGGCGCCAATGTCGAGACAGGTACGACAATTGCATTGAATGCGTTTGGCAACTCCGTAGTCAATCGTACGGCTTCTCCGAAAATCTTTTCGGTTGCGATCCATACTCTATCCACCGTATCTGCACGACAGGAATCAGCTGTCCGCCGAGGAATCGATATCAATCTGGAGAAGCGCCTTGATTCCGGTTGCTTTCTATCTTCACCACAGTTTTTTGGTGCCAGTCATATAGACAAAAGGTTCAAGGAAACACATGATAAATTCTGGACGGAGGGCGAGTGGGATACTTGAGATGGTACCCGGATGTTGTACTAAACTTTCAAACGGTAAAAATTCAACAAGCATGAAGGTCTTGGTCCACTGATAATTTGAACGTCAAAAGTGGATGGTCAAAAGATGGACTTTTATATTCTCGCAGGTCCGAGACGGAGAAAGTATACACCTCGGTCGTTGTGGGCTGTATCTAATGAACCAACACCTTAGATGATTTATCTCCCTCGCATCCACCTCAATTAACACCCAGCAGATCCGGTAGCTCAATCATATTCCTCTGCATCTCCTTACACATTTCCAGAAACTCCTTCTTCTCCATGTCAGTCGCAAACTCAATCTTTGCTCCACTGATGACCTTTCCCTTCTCCACCGCCTTCTCAATCTCCACCTTCTCCTTTCCTTTTCCCTTGACCGCAGCCTCAGCAACACTATCTTTCCTCATCGCGCGATCACCTCTGTCGATCGGCACTCTCAGACCCTTGATTTTCACCTCTCTGTTACCGTCGTCTTTCACTTTGATAGGGTTGACAGAGGAGTTGAGGTAAAAGGCTAGATAACCATCTCTGAAGTCGGCAGAGAAGTGGATCAGGGCGATTATGGCGCCTGTATCGTTGTCTTCCCAAACCCGTAGATTCTCGAGGCCACACATTTGCTCGGCATAGGAGAAAGACTTGGAAAGACCTTCGTGAATGCGCATTGTCTTCTCTGTCCGGAAGGTGGCGAGAAGGGTGCGACCCATTAGTTCGTTTTGGAACATTGCTGCCGCTAGGTACACTGTTAGCTAACCTCATCTCTCGAAGGAGTTATCCCGATAGCTTACCCTGTCCCGAGTCGAAAACATAATTGACCCAACTTGTTTTCTCTGTCCGTGCAGGCCGGTTGCCATGCTTGATATCGTGAAACTTGAGTTCACAGGGTACAGTAATTGAGACTTTGGCTGGGTTGAAGTAGCTAGAGTACGGAATGTACATTTGATCGTCCTCCATACGTAGCTCTACACGCGTAGTGTTGTCATCACTAAACGCCCAAACGGACGTCACAACGCGCACCGACCTTGTCTCGGGGTCAGTTACGCGTTTCCGTACAACGGCGATCCTGCATTCTTCAGAAGCTTGGATCATCTCGACGTCTCTGGGGTCGTCTTGGTTGATTCTGTGTGAATACTCCACGAGCGAACCGCGGCTAGTGGCAGTCAGTAGGCCAATCTAGCAAAATAGAAGGAATGAGACCCAGAAAAACTTGACTTACACATCACACAAGATAGCAGAGTTGCGAAAAGCTTCTTTCTCAAAGGCCGCTTTCTGACTAGCCGTGGTGGAGCTTCTGTGGAGTTTCATGATCTCTGGCGACGAAGGAAATGGGCTTAACTTAGCCTGTGAAGTTTGCGTGGATGTTCTCTCAAGCTCGTGAGGTGGACCCAGCCTCATCGCTGGAGGTGGAAGCAACGTTAGATGGCGAGTGTCATTCTTTTGACCCGACCCAGGTACCTCCGGTGTGCGTGGGAGAGGTGATGTCTTCTTAGTCGACGTCGATTGATGTCGGCTAAGGTGAGCTTCGTGAAGTAATGGTGATGGACTCTGCCATCCGGCTGAACTCGTGCCGGCGTCGGACGATGCATAACTGCTACTAGAGTACCGTAGCGATGAACCGCCGAAGCTGAATTCTGACACTCGTTTCTGATTGGGTGATGATGCTCTTGAGGTAGATATAGTCCTCATCGGAGACGATGTAACAGGGGCTTCGTCATCATGTTCGACCAGTAAGGACTGCTTTGGTGACCTTGGACACCGAGCGATCCGAGGGAGAGAGACTTTGGTTTCTGGATCTCTAGGCGGGGACTTTGGTGGAGACAAAGTATGGATACTCTGACTCAGTGGATTCGCTGCTTCAGTGGTTGGTGAGCGCGCAGGATTTCTTGCCGGTACAGGTGGCACATGCGAGTCCTGTGACGCGACAGCCAGATTCTCCACCAAACGATGTACCTCGTCCAGCTGCTGGTCGAGACTTCCAGTCGAGTGGTACATATGATCAACCCGTTCTGCCATTGGCGTAACTACACTTTCAAGACGAGTCATAGACTTGCTATACTACGTCAGTAAACGGAGTGCATGAGATTTGCATCACTAGCCTTTGTAGTGCTTCAGCCAGAACGGTGATAGAGCTTGTGTGCGTCTGTAATATCTCCCGCAAATTGGCAAGGTCCCCGCCCTCAGTCGTCCAGATCATTGTTTTGTAAGAGGTTAAGACCAGATCACTCCATGAACGCTCAATTGCGAAACCGCCAACAGTACGGTGTTTTCTGATAACTTGGTATTGGTCAATCAGCGAGTCAAGATCGTCCACCTTCTGTTGACAAGATCTCAGGATTGCGCCAATGCCATCTTTTGTTTCCTGACAAGCGCTCTGGAATAGTTCACCTCCATATTCGGTGTGCAGCGTCTCCGCCAGTAATTTTAGGGCTTTTGCGAGGCTACCGACTTCTGTCTCGACGTAGTGAAGCTCCGGTGGCGCGTCTTTCTGGCAAGCATAAAACGTTCGTCCAACTTTCCAAGCTTTCTGCGACAGCATCAATATGTCACCAATGCTGGGGACGGTCATGGTGGCGGATGATGACGGATCATGCACAAATTTGAAATATTCAACCAGGTATGTGAACAACACACAGGTAAAGATGCCGATAACGATTGGGGGTTTCCATAAGGTCCAAGAATTAGGGACGGGACACCCGGGGGAGGCTCGCGATATACTGTGGGTGCGGGAACCGTGGGGGCTATTGAGACGTTCGCAATGCAGCCTAGGGCAGGCCCAGCGCCATGCGCCTGGATATAAGACTCCATAGCGACTGTGTTGTGGAGACCGATGGCTGGATATTCCAGTCGACAAAGGTTGAGAAGGGAGGAGCATGGGTTGTGGTGCTCGACGGGGATACCACGTGGGTCAGGTAGCGCATCATCATTGGCGTCTGTCTGTCGACCACACAACCGGCAATCTGCCCCGCGTAGCTGTCAATACCTGTCAACGAGCGCTGGGCTCGATCAAGACCAACACAAGCGTAAGCTTGGACTGTGCAAGTTCCAGCAATTGTGACACGCATACGCAAGACGGATGTGTTTGGTTCAAAAAGCGGGCTACCCCTCGGACCGGCCACGCCATGGCGCCAGCCGTGCTGCAGGGTACCGTCAATCTGTATTAAAGGCTCTGATGTACATGTACAGATCCCACCTCATGTGGGATAAGATTTGCCGACTACCGAGCGACTTGATAGAGTAGAGGAAATTTGGAACCCAGGGTACATCTATAGACCTTTTTCCCGACCATCGCGTAGATGTCGTACCCAAGAACCCATGCGCCTAGAGTGTATAGTATTGTACAGTGAATCGCAGGTCGTTGTCATATCGTCATTTGGTGCTTATGCAAGTGGTGAGAAGAGACTAAGGCAATTAGCTAATGTTCCATTGAGTTCGACAGAAACAAGACAGAATGGCGAATTCCAAATCCAGTATGTAAGCGAGCGTCTTGAGAATCGGGAGGCCGCTTCCCCCGTGTGAATGCCCGTACAACACTCTTCTGTGGGTTCTGCCTGCCTGACTAGTCGCACGTGTGGGAGGATCTCATGAACGCAACTCCACTGGCCCTTTCTGGCATCTGAGAAGTGGCTGGGCCGACGTTCAAAGCCCGTACTGCTTTCCAACCCAAGGAGTGGCATCTGCTGTGCTCTTGTGGAAACGATCGAGGCCGGCTAGTGTACTCACCGGATCAGAGACGGCTTGGGCACGCTTTGGGAGTATCCAAGGTATAGAATCAAAGGCAGGTAGCCATAGTGAATAGCGACGCGGGAAACATCGATGATGCGCGCGATGCGCTCCTGCTTGGAGTCAGCGGAAGTTCGTCGAGCCAACAATTGCGCATGATGACATACCTTGGACTCTTCTGAAAGTTGGTACATGGTGTATGTGTGGTCGGCCCTGGGGTTGAGGAAGTCGAGGCGTGTGAAGGAATGGGTGACGGCGGGTCTTAGCGAACGATGTTGCGATGATGCGTAAAGCTCAAAGTTTTGGTGTTAGCCGCATGCGTGTTAGCGCAGGCTCAGACTAGAGCTCCAATATCTTCGAGATACATTCACCTAGTCTTTGACACCATACTCCATTCACGACGCCTTACGACTCTGACTGAATCGCCTGGGCATACATTGCGACTCGGGATACAAGACGATAAGCACATATATTCGTAACTCTCACAATGTCGGCCCCGAGTGCGCGTCACTGGTAAGTTGCAACATTCCACGACTTAACATATGCTAACGCATGCGCAGGGAACAAAATAAGGAAGCAACAGTCTACGTTGGAAATCTCCATGAGCGCGTCACACCCCGCATCCTTCATGAGCTGATGCTCAACGCTGGCCGAGTACGGAACGTCAATATGCCCGTCGATCGCGTCAACGGGCAACATCAAGGATTCGGCTTCGTAGAGTTCCACACAGAATCCGAGGCAGATTACGCGCCCAAGATAATGAACAACGTCGCTCTGTATGGAAGCAGAATCCGCGTGAACAAGGCATCAGCAGACAAGCAGAAGAACGTAGAGATTGGCGCGGAGTTGTTCATCGGTAACCTTGATCCTGGAGTGGACGAGAAGACACTGTACGACACGTTCGGCCGTTTTGGACCGCTGGTGAATGCGCCAAAGGTTGCGCGCGACGACATCACGAGCGCATCCAAGGGCTATGGTTTCATCTCGTACGGCGACTTCGAATCCTCCGACGCGGCTATCGCCAGCATGCACAACCAGTATATCATGAGCAAGCAGATTACGGTTCAGTATGCGTACAAGAAGGATGGAAAGGGTGAGCGACACGGAGACGAAGCCGAGCGTATGCTGGCGAAACAGGCCAAGGCTCACGGAGTCGCCCCTGCAGTACAACCGCTGCCAGCACATCTTTTCCAACTTCCTCCAGGTGCTGCACCAACTGGACCAGCCATGGGCGTGGATGGCCGAGGTGTACCTGGTGCACCAAGTGGGCCCGGCGCAGGATATGGACCTCCTGGTGGACCTCCTGGTTATGCTCCTAACGGACCTGGAGGCTATGGTCGACCTCCTTCCGCAGCTCCTGTTGGTCATCCAGGTCTTCCGCCACCCCCATCTGGCTTGCCCGCTCGCCCACCAAGCGGCGCTCCAACCAATTTCTTCCCTCCTCCACCCGGATTCAACGGCCCACCCCCGGGCTTTGGCGGCCCACCACCTGGCTTTGGAGCACCTCCTGGTTACGCACAGGCACCGAGGTAAATAGAAGAGGCGTGAACGGACAGATTACAGCAACACCACTTTTCGCTACAAAAGCGGGCGTCACACCCTGGGGTATTTCTCAAGTCGATCTGACCGGCGCTGGGCAGTGAGGAGTCAAGGATTGTCGCTTTGATGACGACCTCCTTGGGGAGAGTGCCAATCGGCTAGTAGGAACCAGCAGGGAAGGACATGGTCATGATTGAAAAGCATGGTATTCACCAAATTGCGGATAGAATACAGGAACATGGAAAGTTGATTCGAAGAGGCGCTGCTGAGGTCAGCGAAAGAAGAGACGCAGAACTAGGAAGATCAGGATACAAAAGATATCGGCGTCCAAACTCATACCTGCAGAAAGATACCCGCCATGAGCATGTCAGACAGATAGGCCACTAAAGGCAACAAAGGAAATATAGTAATATGCCCAAACTCCAACAAAGGAAACGATTTATGACAGTCCTGTGAAAAGCGTGTCGCCCCCTATTATACCCACTTGCTACGGTCATGAAAAGCTGACAAACTTGGGGTCGCGGGGTATCCCGTCCGCTCCGATGTTGTTCTTCTTGAACCTGTCCTGCATGTATATTCTGCGGGCCTCGTCGAAGTCGACACCTCGTCGCTTCATGATACGCATAACTTCCTTCTTCCCCGCGTCATCCAGGCCTTGGCGCGAATCACCGGCTTCCACGTTCCCACTCAAGTCAAATGCTGAGGACGAAAGGCCGGCTTCAATATCGTCGCGGAACGAGGATGGCAGGCGCGTGTAGATGGGTTCAGGGATGGGAAGGAGGTGTATCCAGCGGTGCCGGGTGAAGTAGGCAGCTGCGCGGTGTTAGTCTGTGTCGCAAGCGTGATATCTAAGGTAGCTTACCTGTCGCAATCACCAGCACGATGAATGATACGGAGTAGAGGATGTAGGCCATGACGAAGATGCTGTTTGAAGCTTTTACAAAGGTTTATGAGGTATGCGACACAGCGGAGGTCTTCGGGATTGTGTGTGAGGACTGCGAGGGCGCAACAAGAGACCCAGGAACTGACAAACAAAAGAAACGGATGTGAAGTGAAGTTGGCGATGGAATCCAGATGCGAGCCTTTCAGAATAAAGGCATTAGGAAGAGTTGGCTTGACACGACGATGGTTCGTAACCACGGAGTCGCGGACAAAGACGCTCGGCTGCACCGCCCCATATCGCGTGAATGCGTCGTCACACCTCCCGCTCCGCTCCGCCCTTGGCATCGGCGCGCATGTTGATCCATCCCCGAAACACGCACTAAGCGCATGCGGTAATGCAGACGAGGGCCATCCATTCAATATTGGCGAACTTTCCTAACGTCAAGCAATCGACATCGTCCGTATCCACATTCCATACAGACACAATGGCCACCACTATCTCGCACGATCTTGCCTGGGAGGTTACCAGTGAGTGAAAGACTGGGACACGAATTGGTATGGAACTGGGGTTGACATATGGCAGAGGGACGCAGCTCCACGCTCGTCAAGAGGGCGAACGGTGTCCAGTTCTCGCGCGATCCTCTTAACCTGAGGAACGTGTACAGCCGCAAGGTACGCATGGGTGTTGGATTTGTGAGGACAATGGACTGACTCTGCTCAGAACGAGGGCTCGATCGCCAACAAGGTACGACCACAACGAACCGCGAATGCGCCGCGCATATGTGCGAATTGAAGAAAAGGGCAATGTTGACAATATTGGAACAGGCCATCGGTGTCATCCCTGGCAAGGAGGGTGGTGTCACTCTTCTCGTCAAGAAGGCCGACAAGCACCACCAGCCCGCGTCTGCCATCCAGACCACCACCTTCGGCCCCAGCCGATCCACCCGCAAGTACGTCCTCTCCAGTCCACGGGATTGTTCGAACGACCGCAACCACTTCGTACTCTAGAATCCCTTGCTGACCAACGTAGGACATACTCCGCCATCGTCAACTCCACCACCAAGCGCAACTACCGCCCCGACCTCCGCCAGGACGCCGTCGCTAAGGCCTCCGCCATCCGCAGGAGCCAGAAGCCCGTCAAGGAGTCCAAGCCCGCCAAGGCCAGGGGTGCTAAGGCCCAGGCCGCGTCCAAGGAGGCATAGATTATGAGATACTGAAGAGCGTGGTGCATGTGAATTGGTTCGGAGTTTTACTTCATTCGGTTCATCATCTTCTGTGGGATTCGGAGCTCATGAAATGAAATGAGCATGGGTTGCATGAACGAATAAAGCTAGAGTCTTCACGACGAATTGACTCGGCGAGAAATGAATATGCTTCGAAAACCATATGCCGGTCCTGCCGCTTCAATGCTGGATGTGCACACCATCCTGCGAAGTGATTCTCGCGAAAGACGTTCTCCAAGTGTCACCCAGACCGTGCCCGTGCCCAGAAGCGCTCATCGTATTATTCACGTGGGACGTACAACCAATACAATACGCCATTGCAATTTGAGCATCGTGGAGAACAAATGAAATCTGTCCAATTATATTCCCAAACTAAGTTGTAGACGTCGAAGATTGAGCTTCTAGATATACAAGACGTGAGGCGTGTGATTATTTCCTCTACCAGCATGCAGTGCAAGCGTAAGGCACCTATCAGAGTAGAGTAAGACAACTTCATGCACCAGAGTGAGGCCATGCCCTTTTCGGGAAAAGACTGGACAGCTCTGTTATACCAAACAACTTGCACAACGGTACACCCTTGTTTAAGGCATAACGAAGATTCAAAATTTGTATGAAAACTAGACGTAGAAAAGACGAATCTTGCTCTCTTCCAACATTATCTTGCTCACGTCGTTGTGCTGTTGGGAGGCTACAGGGGACGAGGGCACAGACCATCCGACTGAGATTTTCGGTGAATGACACAAGGCCATTTGATAAACAACCGGGCTATTATCTTCCTAGGGCTGCGGGTGGGTCTTGGTCTTGAACAGCCGTCGCTTGTGTGATTCGGAAATATGTATTAGTATATCATAATTTTGCATTTCTCCATCGAATTATCTACTCAGCCTCTCAGGGGTTGTCATCTTCAGTAGTATAGTGGTCAGTATTTCCGCTTGTCACCATCACTGGCAACTCGCGGGAGACCGGGGTTCAATTCCCCGCTGGAGAGTATAGCATGCGTTTCTTTTTCTTTTTTGCTCTGGTGCAGTGAATCACGTGGTGGCTGGCTCGGACATAGTAGAGACAAACATCTCGCCTTTTTTTTTGTGGCCATGCCCCACGATGCGTCATGCAACTAATCACCCCATCTCTTATTGTTATATGCAGTACCTAAATAACGCACTGGAAATACTTCAGTTGCACTTCGACATTTTGTCTTTGCGAGCACTTTCTGGCGATCTTCATTCAAGATATCCAGACAGCTTACATACAACTCCTACCTCCAAGTGTTCATGCGTGTTCCCTTACATCCATCAACAGTCTAGAGTATCATCAGGAATCGCGGTGTGTCCTTCTTCGTTTCCGCATCCTAGGTTGGCCTTGTTCATAATGGTATGTCGTCAGATTTGCAGACGGGGACGGGTTATCAGCAGGCTGTCGTATATTCGAGAAAGTGAGTAGCCCTTCCGAAGCTTGACGAAGCGTATGATCATCATCAACTGGCGCTGCGGAAAAAGAAGAGTCAAAAGCTTCTATCTTCTGTGTAGACCACCCGTCGTCAGCCGGTGTCC